GATTGCAGGGAAAACTCAGCTCCAGCACACCTCCTCCCGCTCCATCTTGACTGACCTGGTGTCGGTGTGGCCGTTTCTCTCAGATCTCAGTCCTCTCTGGGTGAACTCGGCCCGGTGGGCACCCCGGGAACGAGGTGCTTCCCGAGTTCCCCATGCGGCTCTGTCGGTGCCATCTTTAGCACATGGCGTCGGCCCAGCCCAGGCAGCCGCCCGACCAGGAGCCGGGAGGGAGGGCAGAGCCCTCCTCCCCTCTCCTTGCTCCTGGACAAAAGACCTTTTCCCGTCCCTTTGTCTCAACTTAAATAGGGCAATTCGCAGAGGCGCCGATTTGGCTCAACCCCCGAGGGGAGTGGGACTCAGATCTGGTGGCACAGGGAGCAAATCCCCTCTCCTGCCACCAGAACACCCCCACACATCAAACTATCACATCTGCCCTGACCAGACCCGGGTGGGACCTGGAGCTGCTGGGATGGGCTTTGGGTCAACCCGTCTCACTCCATGGGCTTGAGTTGGCAGGGGGACTCGGGGCATGGCTGCTCTCCAGCCTCCTGCATTCCTCCATGGCTGATTCGCCATGTCCCCTCAGTTGGAACCGATGGCTTTTGTGTTTCCCAGCCCCAGAACAGCCTGCCTGACATCGTGATCTGGATGCTGCAGGGAGACAAGCGCGTAGCGTACGCCCGCGTGCCGGCCCACCAGGTCCTCTTCTCCAGGAACGTGTCCGGCTGCTGTGGCAAGAACTGCGGGAAGCTGCAGACCATCTTCCTGAAGGTACCTTGTCTTTGGATGCATGTGCATGTGTGATATTCATTTTTTAAATATTTTCCCCTAAAAGAAAAGAGAAAACGGTGCAGGGAAAGCTGAAAACCCGACACAATGGGCTGCGTTAACCCATGAGCACCTGGGGGCTCTGGTGAACCTCAAGCCCCAGTTTGAACCCTGTTGAAGCTGGTTCCTACATAGTGAGAGCCTGGTCGTGCTTCTGGTGGAGTTCAGCTCCTCTCGCATGGATCTGCAGCAGATCCCCGGGAATACCTTCATGTTTTGTGCAAGTTCCAGGGCAGTGAAGATGGGTGCACTTTGGCCCAGATGGTGCTTTTTTTTTTTTTGTAAAAAAAAACCCACCATATTTTTATATTTTTTAATGTTATTTTATGTTTTTAAAAATTCCTGACCCTCTGCCACCCCAGGAAATTCAAGCTGGGCCTCCTCTGCCAGGCCCTTACTGAGCTTCTCACATCTCAAATGATGTTTGTCTGGCCTTTCGCTGCTGCCAGCTTGGGAGCAGGCAATCGCTGCTGAACAAGCTCTCAAAAAATAAAGTGCAATAAACTAAACTGAATAAACCCCAAAACCCCAAGCCGAGCTGGCAGGAAAAGACGAGCCAAAATATACTGGTTTCTGCACTTCAGCTCTGGATGGAAAACTACCATCACTTGAAGGGGGAAAAAAGCGGCTCAGAGAGAGAAAAAAGGACAGGGAGGCATCTCCCTGTTTATTCCATTTTTGCTGAAATATTTGACTGGGATGTGTGTCCCAGCCCTGAAGGATGTCTCACCACCTTTGAACCTTTGTTCCAGGCTAGATTGGATGGGACTTTGAGCAACCTGGTGTAGTGGAGGGTGTCCCTGCCCATGGCAGGGGGGTTGGAACTAGATGGTCTGTGAGGTCCCTTCCAGCCCAAACCATTCTGATTCCATGAAAGTGTTCTGCATGCTGTTGACATCCCAGTTCCCAGGGATGCTGCGTGTCCAACCTACCCCCTTGCCTTCCTGGCCGGGGCTACGGGGGCTTCGTACCCACCACCCCACCCCCAGCCGAGCATCCCGAGCATCCGCCTTTGACGTCCTCCTCAGGGATATTAATGGCGCTCTGCCTTTGGCAGTACCCCCAGGAGGAGGCGATGGGTCCGAAAATCCCAGCCCAGATCCGGGTCCAGCTCTGGTTCGGGTTGTCGGTCGATGAGAAGGAGTTTAACCAGTACGCCGAGGGGAAGCTCTCTGTCTTTGCCGAAACTGTGAGCATCTCGCAGGGACCACTACTGAGATGGGCAGCATGGAGGGGAGGGGGTGGGCTGGGCCACAGGTGGGGCACTGCCGGGTGAAGATCACATCACCCCCCACCAACCGTGAGAAGAACAAACCGTTTCCAGCTCCAGAGGGTGGGGAGAGGGTTGGTAACGAGCCGAAAAGCCACATCGTGGCTTCACACCTCCTTCTGTGCTGGGGGGCAGATCTGGGGGTGCCCCTGGGGCAGGGGCTGGTGGGAGTGGTGAGGCTCTTCCCAGGAGGTCTGTCCTCAGAATAGGGTTTTACAGGAAGGAAGGGATTATTCATGGGATTTCAGAAGGATTATTCATGGGATTTCTAAAGGATTATTCATGAGGTTTTGTGCCACCAAATCAAAAAACCTCTCTACTTTTGCTCCCCCAGTATGAGAACCAGACCAAGCTGGCGCTTGTGGGGAACTGGGGCACGACTGGCCTGACCTACCCCAAGTACTCAGATGTCACTGGCAAGATCAAGCTGCCCAAGGACAGCTTCCGCCCCTCCACGGGATGGACCTGGGCTGGGGACTGGTTCATCTGCCCAGAGAAGACGTGAGTGATGGTTTTCTGCCAAGAGCAGAGCCTGTGTGGGCTGTCGCGGGCACCCTGAAAGCCTGAGCAGATGCTAAGCTGGTGGCAAGGTCGCCCAGACAGCTGGATGGAGATCTGGGGTGCCGTGGGGGTTCCTCATCCGCCTGTCCCGTCCTTGGTAGGCAGCGACGTTAATGCCAAATGCATCGTCTCCGCGCTGGGTGATGTCCCGGGGGTGGTGGGTTCTCACAGGTGCTCAGGGACACGGTGGCCCCAGCACACATCTCACCAGGGTGCCTGTGCAAGCCTCGCGTTGAGGAGCTTTGGAGGTGGGATCCCAGCGGGGCACTGGGGGGATGGGAGGGGATGGTGGGGCTTTCCTTGGTGGAAGAGATTCAAGAGGCAAAGTGTGTGCTGGGTGGCATGGCCAGTGAGGCTGGCAGGGCAGGAGGGGACCCCTCGACGCTGTACATCTCCCTGGAGTGCAGGTTGCTGCACGACGTGGATGCCGGGCACCTGAGCTTCGTGGAGGAGGTGTTTGAGAACCAGGTCCGGCTGCCTGGAGGCCAGTGGGTCCACATGAGCGATGCCTACACCGACGTGGTGAGGATGGAGTGGGTGGCCTGAGGCTGAGCTACCGCCGTGAGCTGCAGGGGCAGGGGGGCCCCGGGGGCTCGGAGAGCTTTAGGCATCTGCCGGGCACCCTTTGGGTGAAAACACCCCCCTTCATCCCACAGAATGGGGAGAAGGTCCTACCTAAGGATGAGATTGAGTGTCCTCCGGGCTGGAAATGGGAAGACGTGGAGTGGGACACCGACCTCAACAGAGCTGTTGATGAGAAAGGTACCGGAAAGCAGTTGGGGGCATCCGTGCTGTTTTCACCCCCTTTGCACTGCCTGTCACGGTGTTTTCTGCTGCGGTCCCATCCAGCACCAGGGATGGTAACGGACCTGTCGTGGCTGTGCTTGCTGCCTCACCAACTTCAGGAGAAGGGGGTCAGGCCCCGGGATGCCCTCTCCCCCGTGCTCTGGCGGGGGTTGGGGGGTGGGCAGTGCTTTCCCTGCTGCTGGGGAAAGGCCAGGATGTTCTTCTGGGAGATCTTCGGTGGCTTTTGGTGAAGGACAGATGGAAGGAGGGACATTTTGCAAGGGTGTGTAGTGATGGGACACTGAGCAATGGCTTTAAACTGAAAGAGGGGAGATTTCGATGAGATCTAAGGAAGAAATTCTTCCCTCTGAGGACAGTGAAACACTGGAACAGGTTGGCCAGAGTTGTGGCTGCCCCATCCCTGGAAGTGTTCAAGGCCAGGTTGGATGAGGCTTTGAGCAACCTGGTGTAGTGGAGGGCGTCCCTGCCCATGGCAGGGGGTTGGAACTGGATGATGTTGAAGGTCCCTTCCAACCCAAACATGATTCTATGAAAGCATCAGGCCAGAGAGCATCCGAGATGGTCACAAGTGTTGGGGTTGCCTGAGGAAGGAAGGGCAGAGAGGAGAGTCCCCAAGCTGTGAGTTTGAGCCAAGGGCTGATGAAACACCATGAGTCCATCACCTCGGCATGCCCAGAGGGACACCTCCATTGGGAGCAGCATGAGCAGGTCATTCAAACTGGGAACATGTATTGTGCCTGGACAAACCTTTGCTATTAAAGCTGTTCCAACCTGGACGTATGTGAAGAGAGATCCCTGATGGAAGATGAGGTGAGGAGCTCTTCTCCCACCTTCACCCATATGTCCCCTTCTCTCCAAGGCTGGGAGTACGGTATCACCATCCCGCCGGACCGCAAGCCCAAGGGCTGGGTGCCGGCCGAGAAGATGTACCACACCAATCGGCGACGGCGCTGGGTGCGGCTCCGCCGGAGAGACCTTGCGCAGATAGAGGCTGTGAGGAAGGTAGGACAGGGGCTGGGGAGAAGGGACTGAGAACGTGTTGGGGCTGTGTCTGTCTCTCCAAGAAGAGGTGAACGTCCTTGGTCCTCTGCAGAGACCTGCAGTGCTTCGGAGGCCGGTGGCTCTGCTCTCCATGCCGGAGCAGGCAGGAGGCCCAGGGGTCAACATCTCCCAGAGGTGGAAACCACCCCAGGGGTGCCTGGTTGGGCTGTGGGGTGGGATGAGAACCTCCATTGGTTCCACGAAGCAGCTTGAGGGACTGGGGCTGGCAGAGGTCCCCAGTCTGTCCCCTGTCCCTGTCCCACTTCCCTCTAGGTGGTGCAATGGGACTGCGAATGCCACCGCAGTGCTGCTGCTCTTCCCTCCCTCAATCCATCTCCCCAAGACACTTGCCTCCTTTTCCAGCACTTTTTCTGGATAACCATGGCTGGAAAGCACAGGGAACCCCTGCCACCCTGTCGCAGCTGGAAGGCTTCAGGCGGCTCCAAGCAGACCAATGTTCTAATGCGAAGGCTTTAGGCTCTACTCTAAGGAAGGCCCACACTCCTCCAAGGCTCAGGAGGAAATGCCTCACCCTTAGGAGTAAACGCCCTGCCTTAAATAGTCAGGAGTCACATGGTTTGCTAGATAGGTCAAGGCTATTGGTCACTTGACCATCCATCTCCCAGAGTGATTGGCTGGATGGGACAGGACCTGTTTCAAGGGGTAACTTTCCCAGTGTAACGAGCTACAGGTGTTTCTTAGTTAGCCTGCATAGAGAAAGAACTTTCACAGGATGCTGCAGCAGCCAAAAGGTTTCTCCACACCACCCCATTTCCCAAAGGGAAGCAAGTGCCACAGGGAGGTGACACCACTCTAGGGAGAAAAAGCCTTTGTGGGCTTGTGACTGGTGTCCCACGTCTGGTGGTGGCGGAGCCGTGGTGGCCCCAGGAAGGATCAGAAGCAATGACAAAGTGGAGGGCGGGCTGGGAAGATGGAGATGCTAGTGCCACCCAGGCCTGGGCAGGATGCAGCCCCCTCCTTGCACAGCATGGGCAGCCCCCAGCCCTGCGAGCCCATCTCCAAATGGGGTTGATCCCAGGGTCTGGGTGAAGGACTGAGTCCCCGTGGTGGTCTGGGCAGGGTTGGGTTGACTGTTGGACTCAGCGATCATAAGGGTCTTTTCCAACTTAAATGATTCTGTGGTTCTAAGCTGGAGAGATACAGGGAGGACATGGGGTGAGACAACCACAGCAGGGAACAGCTGGAGTTTGGATTTGGGTGGGCACGACCTTGGCCCTGAAGAGCCCCACACACTGGTGGCTTTGCCCCTTGGTGGGTCCCACCGTTGTCACCTGCAGAGGGGCGGCGGGATGGTGGGACCAAGCCCCCGTGCTGAGCCACGCTGTGTCCCCCCCGGCAGCACAAGCAGGAGGAGGC